AATTTCAAATAGTTAATTTGATACTAATATCGATATATTTTTGTCAAATTTTTATGATATCGTCAAACATATATTTTATTCAAAAATAAAAACAAATAAAATGAAATATTAAAAACACGATGTATCTCGCTGCATTGCGCGAGTACTCTTCTAGTATATTTTTAATACATTATTAAATTTGTCGTACGGGTCACTCAAATACATTTTAAAAATACGTTTTATTAAAAAAATTGTGAACATTTTTTGCGTTTTTTTGCGAATTGAGAGCGTGGTATGTAAATCTCTCAACCTTGTTACATATTTATAGCGTTTAGAGGCCAAAAAATACACAAAAAAAAAAACCCGTCAAAAACGGCTAGTTAACGACTATATTTAAAAAAAGTTATTTTTTTGGATATTTTGGGCCAAGCCGGGCCGCTCCATAACCGGTCCCGGTCCCACAAATTCGACAAAAAAACATAACCGGATGTATCCGACGATCCCATAACGATCCTTGGCTGGTCCCGGTTCCGGTCCTCCAACGATCCCGGGCTGGGCCGTACTGGTTTGACCATCACTATAGTATACTATCCTAATGGATCATCCCAGTCTTGTATTGGGCCCAAGAATAGAGTGAAAACCGGCCCAAATACGAAACACATATACCAGTCCAAAGTCCAAACTAAAGTTCTTGTCCTTTCTTAAACCAATTACGGTTAAAACACATCATTACTATAAAAATAAAAATACTTATTTAAATAAATAAAATGATGATTTGACTTTACATGATTGATTGGAAAATAAAATTATGTGATGTACTCCAAATGCTGTGATGTACTCCAAATGCGTATTTTCTTCCTTCTTAGTATACTAAAGATGTTTCTCGTTGTATTGCTTATTAGACTTCGATCGTTTTTTGGTTGAGAGCCGTATATCTCCATCTTTCTTTCTCGACATAATCGGCATCCAAGAACCGAGCTACGAACGCCCATAGTCTATAAACATCTTCGAAACTTGCCAAAAACGTGATGGCTGCCGTCACCACCGCAATATGCTGCAACCCTTTGCTCTTCTTCCCACCACTGCTCGAAATCAACCGTTCCTTTTCTTCGTTATACTTATCCGCAAACCATATCTGCTGCAAGAACCCTTGGCTCAAAGATATGTTGTTTCGATCCGAGAGTTTTTGAATGAGTGCGGGTTCGACCTTTTCACCTTTCCAATCGTAAACATTGAAGGCTAATGCGGGCCCACGATCGAATCGGATTCTTGGACCGTAGATTTGGACCAGGGGTGTCTTAGTTTCGGTGTTGGGATGTTCTAGTTTCATTAGCGCATTGATCAGCCAATTTATCAAACACCTGGTGCGCGTGCTAATTTGTATCAACCCTAGGGAATCGACATGATCCAATCCTCTATATTCGATCTCTGGGATTTTGTTTTTTTCGCCATGGATTACGATCTGATTTGATGGTTCACAAGATTGAACTGCTTTTTCTTGATCTTGTTCAAGTTCTAAATCTGTACCAGATGAATGTTCGTCATCTGCTTGGAACGATGAGTTTTTTGCAGGTATAAGAGTGGCGATCCCTACACATGTTGAAGCATCCATGATCGGTACGACTGATTTCTTGACAAATAAGCATCCGAATCCAGTCGGGTTTTCGCCAAAAACTTTGTAGAAAGAACAAATTAGGAAATCGGGTCGAATTAGCGACAACCCGAAGCTATCCATGTCTTTTGGGCCCAATGCACAAGCATCAAGCAAGACATGCCACCCGTTTTCTTGCGCCTTGATCATCCATTGATACGAGTAACTAGCTCCAGTGGTTCGAGATTGAAGTGGGAACACGAAAAGACCCCTCATTTTCTTCTTCTTCCTCTTTCTTTCCACCAGTTTTCTTAATCTTGCAGTGTGAATCCTCAGCCTGGGCCACTTGAATTCAGCTGACATGATTCTGGCTCCTCGTTTCTCCGATGTAGTAACCATGGCGTCCACAGCCTCACTCTTGTAATCATAAACCGTCAGCAGCTTACGACTAGTCTGAAAAGGGTAAGCTTCAGAAACAATTTTGAAAGCCGACGACTTATTTGCAGTGATCAGCATAAAATAATCTTCATCAGAAACGTTCAAAAACTCCATGATTCTCTTCCTGATCGATGATTCGAACTTCGATCCTTCCCCACCATGAAGCAACTGGGACTTGAGATTTACAGACTTATAGATGGTACTAAAGAAGGGGAAATCGGAGAATTGGTCACTTGAAGAAGGAGATGAAGGGGAAACTATGGAAGGTTGCTGTACAGTCTGAAGCTGCAAATGGGAGAAAAGTCCGATGCCGATGTAATCGAGGCATATACGGTTTGAGAGGGAAAGATGGTAGTATTCTTGTCCTCGAATTCGGTCAACTCGGGCAGTATCGGAATAGTTGGGGTAGGTTTCAGTGAAACTAATGAGTGATTCTTTGAAAGAAGGAAGGGATTCATGATCTGTGAAATGGGTGTTTGGGAAGAAAGAGGTGGCGGTGGTGGTTGTGAAGTTTTTCCGGCAAGCTGATGATGTGCTTGTGGGTTTGGAAGTGATGGTGGTGGTGGTGGTGGTGGTGATGGTGGTGAAGTCGGGAAGATAGAAGAGAGGGTTGGAGCAGCAGCCATGGGAGCATACTTGTGTGACCTCCTTAAGGCAAGGAGAATGCATCTTGGGTGATGAAGAGAGGTTGAAGATGACGATGGAGGATTGAAGGTGTATATATACATATATAATATAATATGTACGTATATATATATATATATGTATATGTATATATATATGTATATGTATATAATAGTGGAAGGAGTTTGAATTGGTGAAGGGGACATAGAAATGATTGTTTGAAGGAGTCATGCCAAGACTTTTTCTTTATATTTAAGACCATGCATTTAAGCCGGTCTATCGGCAAATCGCATATTCTCATTTTCTTTTTCTTTTATTAAACTCGATATTCAATCTATTATCCGAGCCGACTAATTTCAGTGTGACCATCTGCTTTACAGATAGTCTGGAGTCACCGTATTTGAACCTCCATGGCCACAAGGGGATTTTTATTTCTTCTTGGATTTGAACCTGGGATATCTTGTTACTTTTGATCTTTGTAGCTAAGCTCAAACCAATCAGATATCACCCTCATGGTTTTCTCATTTTAAGTATATATGTATGTGTATATTGGGTCATTTATTTGATGACCACTTCATTTAACTGTTGAATTGTTGCACAAAATACATTTTGATAGACTAAAATCTCACCCGATAAAGCAAGTCAGAGTGTCACTTTTAATGGTAAGCGTTTACCGGGTAAAAGTTTGGGTAAACGACCCCTTAGTTTGACTTGTTGGTTAGAAGACATAAGATAGTTGTTGACTGATAAATTAACTATTTTTTGTAAATCAACTGATAAATTGTAAATCATATAAAAATGGTTAAAAGTTAGAAACCTGTTTTATGTATTGGTTCATAAATGAAACAAATACATTTAAAAACCAAGACTGTGAAAACCAAACAAAATCATCCAATGGATTTGACTCTACAACTATGATCCATGTGTTTCATTTGTTATATTTTTGCATACGAGTATGTGCGTGTGTTTCATTTATAAGGGAATTTTGTGTTAGTTCATGCAAAAACAGTTATGGACATGTCATTCATCAAATAATATTGTATGAAACTGCATGCTCACATTGTTGTTTCATCGCATACAAACTAAATTTCACGATTTATAAATTTTAGATGGTTTCTATATGATTTGCCTTAGCCAATAAACTAGATTACAATCTAAAATGAGTTAAAATGCTAGATGTTGGTCGAAAAGTAATCTGATAAACCAGTTAAACTTTGGTTAAAATTAGACAATAAACGAAATGGCAACACAAAATTTTAAAAAATATTTATACCCTTAATTTCTATAATTAGTAATTATTATTAATTAAAAAAATATTTAATATTTTTTTTTCAAAAATTATTAATAAAATATTTAATTGGTAATTAATACATATTTATTTGAAAAATTATTACTATATACTTTATAAATTATCTACTTATTAATTAAATATGATATAAAATACAAGAAATGATCGTTAAACCTAAAGAATTGGGAAATTCTTTGTTTTTGTTAATTATTACTTATTTTAATATGATGAAATATATTAGTTTGTTTTAATTAGTATATTATATTATATGATATGTAATGTTGGAATTTTGAGTAATTTTTTAACGTGTCTTTTTTTGTAATTTTACATTCGACAACTATCTTATGGACTAGATTTTGTCAAACATGATTAATTTGTCTCAAGTAACAATTAGCTCGTCAGTCAGTTTGCCAACATAATCTAAAACAAATCTAAAAGAATTATGGAATAATTTTTAATAGAATATTTGCCACATCAGGTTTCCACTGTACAAATACTTACTCCAGTGGTCAAATCTTTCAAAAGCCTTTCTTTTGTATTTTTAATTCATTTTTAATATGCATACGTAATCTTCAAACAATTGATATCCCCTGAGCTTTTAGATGTGAAACTATCATTCAAGTTATTGCTTCAATGGTTAACCTTTTCGATCAAGTCTTTATTTTTACCATTGGAGATGCTCTTATAAACATTATTACATCGTTAAAACTTGTATATATGACAAGTTGTATTAAATCAAATAAAGAAAAGAAATTGAAAAAATTAGTTTAGAGTACAATTATTTATTTTCTTTAGAAAAGTAAAAGTGAGATAAACATGGAAAGCAAAGACAGAAATGATGAGTTTGCTTTAGCGGGGATGGAGCGGAGAACTTAATTGCTAAGGAATTGGTTCATTGATTAGAATGGGACAATTGGAAGTCCAACCACAATACCCCTTTTTTCCTTTTTATTTGCTTTATAGCCTGCAATTATATATATATATATATATATATATATATATAGGATCAAGTGAGATCAGTTTGTTTTCATGAGACTACTTTATTACATTTGAAACTTCACAGTAAAACGATGTGAAGGTAACTTTCATATTGTTTTTGCTGTGAAGGTTCGAGTTTTTTACCTTTACAGCGTTTTGCTGTGAAGTTTCAAGTGTAAAAAATTAGTATCATGGGTCTCACGAAAACAGGTTGGTCTCACGTGAACCCAA